CTCCCCAATTCTTATCCATCAAACCAAAGCTTTGGTTTTACATTCAAATGGGTGATCATTGTCTTTTCATTATAAAAGATAAGATATACTTCATTTTTTATTCTACATTATTATTGGACTCCAAATTTCTTATTGATGTGAAATAAAGATGCAAACAATGTACGATCTGGATGGTGACTTCCTACCAATTTTTAAATCTATTTTATTTATTTTTATTTTTTTTATGATTAAGGTTATGTTTGACGGACTAGCTGAAAAGTTAGCTGATGGCTGAAAAGTTAGCTGTTAAATAAAAAGCTAGCTAGCTGATAAAAATTAACGTTTGGTAAAACTAGCTGAAAAGCTAGGTGAAATATATAGAATTACATAAAAGGACATGTAAGAATATGTGTTTCTATAATTAATTAAGGGGTGTATTTGGAAAATTTTAAAAAAGCTCTTAAAAAGCTATTCTAAGTAGCTTTTCAAAAAGCTAGCTTATAAGCTACTTTTTGGCTTACCAAACACGACAACATAAAAAAGCTCGAAAAATAAGCTAGCTTATTAGCTAGTTGTGGCGCGTCAAACACAGCCTAATATGTAATTGAGTTACAAAGTGCTCTTAATTATAATTATAGAGTTATTTATTAAAATGATCAATTTACTAATTTAGTCAAATTTGCTAATTACTTTTCATAAAATAGTTAAAACAAATTCATTTTTTTTTGCAAAATAGCCACTAAAATCACATATGTAATGTTATTTCACATATTTAATAAAAAGACTAAATTTTTCCGATCGAGACACCAAATCGCAAATGGATTTTTTTCCATCTGCGATTTCCTCTCTTCCACATCTAAGATTTTACCTTTTTTTAAGGTTAGGTTTGACTACGAATTTGATTAGGTTGATTATGAATTAGTACATTGTTGATCATGAATTTGGGGGAATAAACTGAATCGTCCGTTGTTCTTTAATCAGGGGCTTTGAAAGAGTTTTCCGAAATTGAAAGAGGGAAAAATGAGGGCCTTCCAACATAAATGGTATTTATACTTGGGCAGGTCAAAATCCCAGATGAACTTGGTCCAAATTACAGATGGAAGTCTATTTGTGAATGTACAAGTCTTTTATGCATAGTTCGTGCATTAATGACTTGTACATTTATAGATGGACTTCCAATTTCATAGATGGTCCCTAATTACTTGCAATTTTAGTGGTTATTTAATGAAATTTGCTAATTTTTGGCTATTTTGTGAAAAGTAATTAGCAAATTTAGCTATATTTGCAAATTTCTCTTTATTTTCTCTTTTCATTTCTTATACCCACACTTTCAAATATGCAAGATAATAATCACCAACAAGGTGCAAACGTTACCGTAAATTCGCAAATAATGGTTCTCAAGACGCCCATTTTGAATACAATATATAATATGTTAGTGATTTTTATCACTAATATTATTTAAGTGTTAATATTGAACCGCTGGGATTTGAGAGCGCCACTGTAAGTAGAAGTCTAAGTGGTGGCAAATCCTTGGTGGGGTCCAAGGGGTAGAGCCACTGATTGGGATCGGGATTGAGAAAATTTTGGATTAATAGACTCGACCTCGACCGAAATTGAGAAAATGCATATAAATGGTATATTGAGAAGATAGACTCGATTTTGACCCTTATCTTAATTCTTGTTTTTAGTAGTAGTTTTGAAGTTGTCTTGTGACAATTTTGGTAGTTTTCAGACAATGAGAGTTATATCCTGTTTTTTTTTGTCATTTTTTCTCGTATATACAAGATCATAACTTCACATTGAACATCACTATTTTATCCAACTGAGATTTCAAGAGTACAATCGAAATATTTTAATTTGATAGTGCAATCACGACTTTCAGTGAATCCAAGTAATATCGATTTACCGTAGATTTCTAACATAATATATCTACTCCGCTTCAATAGTAAGAAAAATGAACCGCAAACAAATGAAAAATATTTGATAATCAACATGTTTTGTTGATAAACATGATATGATCACAACAAATGTCTTATTATATACTCCTAAAATTTTCGTATGTTTTTATAGAAAAAGAATCAGGTTCCGTGAATCTATAAATCATTCACGAGAGCAGAAACCGAGTTTACCATTGATCAAAATGTTCGTATTTGGTTGCAGGAAACATATACGTCCAAAAATTAGATGTACCATCGTTGGTGATCAGACCAACCAATATTATTGAAAGCACCGACTCATACTTCTCAATTAAACCAATTTTAAGACAGATCGTGTATTGAGAATATGACATTCTCTAGTCCTTGTTAACATAGAAAGTATTTTATTTCTTATATAACTTGAGGTGTTTGAGTGTAGGTCCATTAGAAGTGTGTGCGGTCATTATATTATGAGAAAGAAGAGAGTTGTGTTGTTGATGATTGTATGTGATGTCGTGGGAGTGGTATGAGATAAATGGAGGAATGGGCTATAAGTGTCAAGTTGTGTGAAACAAGTAGATTGCGACTCAATTTCATGGAAGATAAAAAGGAAGACATGGGTTATAATGACCCGAACTACATATACCCGATGTACTTAATATGTACGAGAGTTATTTTCTCCGTTCATTCAATCTACAACACACTCTCTATTCTTTCATTGCTATTCCGTTTTACATATAATTATAGTTCTTTATATTCGCGATCCTTACATTTGGTTGAGTTGATTTCTTTTAGTCTATAGTTGTTAGAAACATCTAAGAGTGCTTGAATGTTGTTTGTAGCGAGAATTTATTTTGTAAAAGTATTTCGGTAATAAATATATAGTTTGTGTTTTTATCATTGTGTTCGTTAATATTGAATGACCTGGAATCACAACCATTTTTAGACGAGGTGCGTTCTAGGGTGCAACCCTATCGAAAATTATGACTAACTTTTTAACACTAATGCACGCCGACAACTATTAAATATTAGATCAAATCAGATTGACAAACAAAAAAACCGACCAATAATATTGATGCTTATATGTTAATTAGTGGTGAATAATAAATCTAGTTATTATTAATATTTACCAAGTTTCGTCTAGAAACCAGATCAACCCTTTGCTATCGGATCTTGCTATAAGAAAGGTAGTAAGAAGATTGTCTCTTTATTAGATGAAAGTAAAAGGCGTAACGGTTAAATTAAAACCAACCTCGTAGTTGCATATCTTCGACAAGTAAAATGACTACATTGAAGAAGCTACTATCCTTAAAAGTTTTTACGTTGCTCTAAGGATGTAAGCTTCAACATAAACACCCATTGATTTGATGTAGGATATTCTTCGTTCCAAAAGCTATGGAAGAAGGAATAAATGCAAAACAATTATAAGGAAAACAAAAGAAACTAAGTATTTGTAGTTGGAAAATTCGTACAAGGCAAAGAGAGAAGAGAAGTCGATTTTGTGATGCATATTAAATGGGACCCGAGAGGTCTTATATTGAATAAGAAAATCAGAATCCCCAAAAAAATTTGGATCTAATAACGACATACAACCACTCACACGATGACATTATTATACGGTATATGTGTTATTTCATGCACTGGCATCACCGGCTAGGCCAGATGCATATGTGTGGGTTTGACGCATCTTTTGATCCAATTACAGCCTTTGAAAAATCTATCAAGAGCCAAACCTTATAAACCCATAAAAGTTATTCCTCCCATGGATGTGGGATACATTGGAACTTACCAGCTTGCAATACATCCACTATAATTACCAACAACAACTTCCTTTAAAATCAAGGGTAACTTAGTCTATTTATCTCATTGTATGTGTAACATACTTATCTAAGCACCATCAATTATAAATCATTATTTGTACCATCAAAGCTTTCGTTTAGAACATATATAACTTTCAGTTTCAAAATAGTTCTTCGGATTTCAAAATGATTTTATGCATTTCGGAGTATGAAAATCACACTAAATATGAAAATAATACCGAGTACTAAAGTTACTATAACTAGTATATAACCTAACTCACTGGTTCAAAATCAAAACAATTTTCGAACATGTTTATCAGCTTTGAACATGTCTGTCGATGCACACATGTTATTGCAAAAATATAACTAGATATAATATTATAAATTGAGTTTCAAACATGTTAAAACATAAATTAGGCAAAAAAAACAAGCACTTAAGTTTCAAACAACATGAGTTTTGGAACATCTTCAAAATCAAATGAAGGACATATATGGGTTCTATACCCAATTATACACTACCAAGGCTTAATACAACGAATATACAACAAATAAATGCTAAAAATAAGTTTTCGAACATGAAGAGCGTGCTCGAAAGTCATATGATGAGTTTCGAACATGTTATTTATGTTTGAAACCTAGTTTTCAATATTAACTAGAATGTAAAGACTTATACCGTCAAATATATAAATAAAAATTAGAAAACTTTCATGTTATTCCATCTTTTAAAGATCTTCGTGGTTGTCTTTTCAAAGTTTCGAAAATGAGTTTTGGGAAGCTACAGGTTTCATGCCTTATATATCACCACATACCAATACAAGAGAAGTTTGAAATCCAATTTTTTGAATAGTTGAATACATTGTTATCCATGCTACTTTTTCGTGAAAATTGAAACATTTCCTTATATCTCTAAAGGAAATGAGTCATTTCAGGGATTACCATACGATTCAATACTAGGACCGTACGATTCAGGGATTACCGTACGTAGGAAAGGTTGGCTTTGTCCATCAAAAACATATGGTTTCAAGGTTTTACTATTAAGGTGTTAGGGACTTCTACCATAGTTTGGTTCTAACTAATGCACTTTATCCTCACCAAACTACACTCAATGCACATCATTCTGAATTGAAAGTCAGTTGAGGATATAACCGGATTGACCCGACTATAGGTCATTAAAAACATTATAATATAAAAATGAAATATCATTATTAACACGTAGATAATACATAACTATGTTGCTATTTATCATTGTTTATACAACGTATAAACAAGAGGATACGTCTGAGTCAAACATGTTTATCGAAAGACTGGGTCCTATTCCTGTATTCCAAGCTAGAAAAACAAATATACAGAATATACAAAATTATCTTCACAAGGTACAAACCATTATAAAATTATTACCATAGGAAAGAGAAAAGGATTTACCTGTGGAAAGCGAAAGAACTCCATCGAGAAGTGGGGTTGTGGGGTCACCCTGTGTGTAATGCGTTGCGGCCCTCGAAACCAGACACCCTCCCATCGTTTTCTGCAAATAAATGGAGTTGATTTTACACCAGATTCTACCTTCAAACCAGAAACGTTAATTAAGTCATCCATTCATTTTGGCCTTTCAAGAATTTCGCTTGCCGGAAATTTGATCACAGGAGTTGATTATGGTGGAAAACGGGCACGGGCACGGGCACGGACACGGACACGGACACCATCACCCACCATCCGCGGCGCCTCCGCCGTCCATCATCCACCCGCCGTTGGGTGCTGCTAGAGGACCTGCTTTTCCACCCTCCGAACAGCTTCTCCAGCTAAACTACTGCATCCATTCCAATCCTTCATGGGGTTTGTTTTTACTTTCTGAATCTTAAATCTTTATTCATTTTTGAAGTTTAAACGATAAAAATTGATTTTTTATGCAAAAAAGTTGTAATCTGTAATCTATCTTGATTTGAAAGGAATGATTCCTCCCCCTATCGCTATCGTATTCTTGTTTGAGGGATTTTGTTTTTATACCTCTGCTATATGAACTCCTTGATTCAATTTGATTCCTCGCGGATTTTTTTTTGTAAAGCCCCTTTATGTAAAGAAAAAAGATCTAAAAATTTTTATTTTGTTTTTCGAGCGACTTTCACTAAGTATAAAACTTTTCATCAACCATGAGCAGAAACGTGTCCTGTTCCCTCTATGTCGGAGGCGAAAACAAATATATGGTTCGACTGGAGTTGAGGTCAAGCCAACTAATATTCTAACTTCAAATTAATTTCGATTAGAGATTTCTTGTTTGATTAGAAGAATCTTGTTACTAATACTATAAATAGGATAGTATTATTTCTTAATTGTGTTATTAATCCATGTCAATCTTGAATCTTGAATTTAACATATAGTTAATCTATATTCTTTTATATGGAGGGAATGTTAAGTTTTGACCACTAAAACTTCTCTTTTGTTTATTATAATTCTTATTATTTAATTAATTTTGTTAACCCCTTTACTTCTCTTTAACATTAATTTATGTTTCTAATTGTTTGATCACTCTTTTTTACAGGTCAAACTGTTTTGCTGGCATTCCAACATTATATTGTGATGCTTGGAAGTATTGTTATGATCGCTACCATGCTTGTACCTCAAATGGGTGGTAATCATGTGAGTCTTTTTACATATCCATCCTTTTAGTTTCAAAAATTGAGTTGATCAAGATTGAAAATTTTCCAAGATGAATATAAACGGGTTGAAAATTTGATCTTGCTTCCTATTAAAGTTTGTTGCTTTATTGATTTATAGGGTGATAAGGCTCGTGTAATTCAAGCTACACTCTTTATGTCTGGATTGAATACCCTTTTACAAACTTTACTCGGTACTAGACTTCCTACAGTCATGGGACCATCCTTTGCCTACCTCCTACCCGTGTTGTCAATCATAAATGATTTTGCAGATGAAGACTTTCCATCTGCGCATCAGGTAAATGTAAAGATGTACATACATGCATCAAGCCTGATACATTTATGTATCTATGTATCAGGCCTGATATATACATGTATCAACGTCTGATACTTGTATCAATGTATCATCTTGATACATGTATCAATGTATCACGCTTGATACATGTATCAATGTATCATATATGTATTGTATCAGACCATGAGGTCCGATACATCCTTGTATAATCTTATGTATCTTGCACACTATATGCAAGATACATAGTATTAAGCTGTGCATGATATATACAAGATACGTATGTGTATGCATGTATGTGATACATAAATACAAGTATGTAACCTGATACATGTAGGTTGAATACCTAATTTTTTGTTTAAATTAACTTAAGTGTCTGTATATGGTTTGGGTGATAGAGATTTCTCCACACTATGAGGGCTATTCAAGGATCCCTAATAGTATCTTCATTCATCAATATAATTCTTGGATTTAGTCGGGCGTGGGGAGATTTCACAAGGTAACGTGTTACTTGCTCTTATCAATAAGATTTATCTTTAATTATATTTCCTTACTTTTATATTGATTTTGTTTTTTTGGCATCATAATTTGTAGGTTATTTAGTCCTGTTATTATTGTCGCATATATTTGTGTAGTCGGTCTTGGTTTATCTGGACGTGGGTTTCCTCAGGTACAACCACTCTATTCTGAAAATATTTCAAAATCCAAATTATTTAATTTTGATAATCGAATGCATAATTGTGGTTAAATTATGTTATTACAGCTTGGAAATTGTGTGGAGATAGGTCTGCCTATGCTTATATTTTTGGTCGTCTTTCAACAGGTATAGTATCTTTAGCTTCTAATCGTATATGCTTATATATATATATATATATATATATATGTGTGTGTGTGTGTGTGTGTGTGTGTGTGTTTTACGGAAATTGTTGGTTTTGTGTAACAGTATATGAAGCACCTCCATAATAGGGCTCATCCAATTCTTGAAAGATTTGCTTTACTCTTTTGCGTTGCACTTGTGTGGGCTTTTGCTGCTCTACTCACTGTATCCGGTGCCTATAACAATGTTGGTAACAAAACCAAACTTAGTTGCCGGACCGATCGTTCATACCTCATGGAATCTGCTCCATGGTAAATATACCACATTCTTCATATGTTCTTTAGGTCCTGTTTGTTACACACAGCAGAACAGAACAGGGTGTACTGCATTTGGCACGCATTGGACTAGGACTGGTGTGAATGAGATAAAAATTGCAATTTTTTTGTCCCACCCAAAAAGGTGGGACAGGGAGTCGCTTTCGATCTCTCGTTTGTGCAAAAGACGTAAATACCCTCTTCATCTTCATCATTGAAAATAGCCATTATAGTATGTCCCACTTTTTTGGGTGGGACAAAAATTGCAATTTTTGTCTCATTCACACCGGTCCTAGTCCAACGCATGCCAAATGCAGTACAACCTGTTCTGTCGTGTCCTATTTTGCATACCTTATGAAACCATTTATAGATGAGCCTTTTTTGACGTGTTGTTTTTGTTTAACTAACTATAGGATCAAAATGTCGTATCCATTTCAATGGGGAACTCCTATATTTAGAGCAAGTCATGTTTTTGGTATGATGGGGGCGGTTCTTGTTACGACTGTAGAGGTTTCATTTTTCTTTTTCTTCCTATTTTGCCCTTTTTTAGTTCTTACACTCGAATTTTTTGTTTCTCTCGTTTTGTAACCATTTTTTTTTTTTTTTTTTTTTTTTTTTGCAGTCGACAGGAACTTTTATTGCTGCATCACGTTTTTCAGGTGCCACGCCCCCTCCAGCACATGTTCTTAGCCGAAGCATTGGTTTTCAAGTCTGTTTTTTTTAATTTTTTGAGTTTTATTTATATGATTTACTAATAATTGGAAATTAACATGTTTTTTTTTTTTTTTTTTTTTTGCCAGGGTATTGGCCAGCTACTTGATGGGGCATTCGGTTCAATAGTTGGGACTACTGCATCTGTGTAACGAATCGTTTCTCATTTTCATTTGAATTTTAATTCCACAATATATTCTATATCTATAAACTTACATATTTCTGAAATAAAAAAATGCAGAGAAAATGTCGGACTTCTTGGTCTAACTCATGTTGGAAGCCGAAGAGTAGTTCAAGTCTCAGCTGCTTTCATGTTTTTCTTCTCCATTTTCGGTCCTCATTAATTCTTCTTCATAACAATTTTCTAAACAATATTTCTTATCATTGCACCTGATTTTTGACTAAAATTAGTTTTTTTTTTTTTTTCAGGGAAATTTGGGGCATTCTTTGCATCAATTCCGTTACCAATATTTGCAGCCATTTATTGCGTCCTGTATGGCCTTGTTGGTGAGTGTTCTTTGCTTAGACTACTTTTGGTTGCATTTATTACCTACCCTACCTTTTTGGATGACGAGGGCATTTATGTCTTTTGCACAACTAGATATCATGAGCTGTCCCTATTCCACCTTTTTGGATGGGACAAAAAATTGCAGATTTATTGAGCTGTCCATATTCCCCACCTTTTGGTGTCTCATTAACATTAGTCAAAGTCCAGTGCATACCAAACACAGTACAGTCTGATTTCAGTCTGACCTTAGTGACAAATCTTTAACAAGCTATTATTTCTTGTTGATTCAACAGCTGCGGTTGGAGTTACATTTATTCAATTCACAAACAATAATTCAATGAGAAACATCTACATATTGGGATTATCTTTATTCTTAGGAATATCAATACCCCAATATTTTGTTATGCACACTAATCTTGTCACGGGTCGTGGACCTGTAAATTCTGATGGTGTTTGGGTAAACAATCTCATCATATCCTTCTTTTTCTTGTATCATTTATACTTTATTCAAAGAGATGAGGGTATTAATTTGTTATTTATATGAATATGAATATGATGGTTTTGTAGTTCAATGATATATTGAACACCATATTCTCTTCACCTCCGGTGGTGGCAATGATAGTGGGGACAATACTGGACAACACGTTGGATGCACATGATTCACGTGAGGACAGAGGTGTGCCATGGTGGGTCCCTTTCCAACACAGGAAAGGCGATAGCAGAAACGAAGAGTTTTATAGTTTTCCTCTAAGGATTCATGAGTATATGCCTAATAGATATCTATGATTGATAATTGATTTTGTTATACACACGTGCATTGGTGGACGTAAGTTTTGTTGTATATTATTACTATATGCATGGTGGTTAATTTTGAAAGCCAAGGCGTTAAAAAAGTTTGATGGGATATATATTTTGAAAATGTGGGGCCAACAGCCATGCAGAGAGAGATAGAGATAGAGATAAGGAGCGATTTGGATATATATATATATATATATATATATATATATATATATATATATATATATATATATATATATATGAGGTCGTTAATGTTTTCACATCACAAGGGACCTACCAATACCAATACGGTCACATTTGGATCAGATCATATCTTATCTGTGAAATCTTGTTAAATCGTCCTTTCCGACAGCCGACCTAAAAGGAAGGCCCAGAAAGTAGTAACGACTCATGATTAAGAAATGGATATTTTGAAGTTAGAATCTTTTTATGAGAATATCTTTTAGTTAGAAATATATCTATATACTTTTTAAACATTAAAAATCATATTTTGTCTAATTTAATTTTTAAATATTATATTTATTTTTTATAAAATTTCAAAATATTTTTGACCACCAAATATATTGGTAACTAACTTTTTTTTGGTTCCATTTGGTTGGTTGGTTTTCCGTGATAAGCATGAAGGTACCCGTGAGAATAACATTAAAAGATTCACGATTTCTTAATGTTAAAAAATATAAATTGAACATATCAAATGTTATTTCAATATTTGAGTAATTATATCGATAAAATTCTTAATCACAAACTCAAAGTATTATCATACTTAACAAGACTCGAATAAGTCGACTTTGGATTGTTCTTATTCCATTCTCTTCTCGTTATCACATCATCATCATACCCCCTACTGCTCTGCCCTAAGACTTATTCGGTATACACACCATACCCATGGTGTGATGATGAGGTTATCTTTTCACTGCTCCTCCTAACAAATATGATGCCTTGTTGATGTGGCCTCATCCAGACAATATCATACCTATAACCTTCAAAACATCAACAGTTGGCAAATAAATGTATTTAGTTAACTTTTTTTCTTCAAAATTAGCCTTTTAAACACCCTTACATTTTATAAACTTTTCACACAAACATTTCACTCTTTCATTCTCACAAACATTCTACAAAACAACTAAAAGATGGATTTTTCTTCGTTTTCATCTTCATTGGTCGATGGTATGTTTGTCACCATATTTGCTCAAGTGGTATGCACCATTTTCTCGATCAAGAGGAAGAAAATTTGGTCGTCAATACTAGAACTATAATAACCAGAGATCGTGTAGTTGCACATGAATTTTCAGTATGTGATTACTTTGTCGATGATTACTTGTACAATCATATGCCATTCAAACGATAGTTCCGTTTGAGCACACAACTATTTGTACATATAGCTATGATTGGAATAGAGTTACAAATTTTTCTAAATTGAAATGTGATGCTAGAGGTACACAAGGTTTTATTACAATACAAAAGTATTTGGTTGCAATTCAGATTTTAACAGACAACATCGTTGCTGACGCAACAAATGAATAAGATGTTTGAGAGAACAACACTAGAATGTATCTATTTGTTTTGTGAATATGTTATCGAGCTTTACGAAAAAAATATATTTGTGGAAACCTACGAGAAGTGATATTGAACAATTGTTTGTGGCATATAAAGCATCACATGGTTTCTCAGGAATGATTGGAAGCATTGATTGGTTGGGTGTATGTAAGTTGTGAGTGTTGTATATGGCATTTGAATAATTAATGCAGATTGCGTACAATTGCTGGATGCATACCATATATATATATATATATATATATATATATATATATATATATATATATATATATATATATATATATTCCTTCATTACCAGTAATCATTGCATGAACAAAAACCATCTTCAAAATGATGGAAACGATTCACATCTCTCACAATAATTTTCCTTCCATATACACGAGACACCAATTTAAAAGCCAAATGACAATCACTACAAACTCTAAGATTCTTAGTTATGCGAATAGCCAATCCTGTATCACTAACATTCATAAGCCCAAAAGCCAAAGCTAACTTCTCACCATGATAACTTAACATACCATGCTTGTCTTCCTCTTCTACATCATGAAACACACATGACAAATCAGGAACATAACCTACCATCTTTATCTCAACCACCATTCTTTCCACCTTCTCATAAATCTCTCTTGTAAAAGAATTAAACTCCTCCCCAGTGTGAAAACCATGCAACTTGTTATCAAACTCAATCAAACTAACTCCTGCAGGTTTTCTTAATCCTTTATTTTTCATATCTTGTCTCAATTTTCCAACTTCTTGCCAGTTTCTTGAAGTTGCATAGATGTTTGACATTAGTACATAATATCCAGTATGTTGTGGTTCAAGGTGGAAAAGATTATCAGCTGCAACTTTCCCTAAAGTGGCATTTCCGTAAATTTTACAAGCCAAAAGCAAAGCTCCCCATACTTCATCATTTGGTTCTGATGACATATTCTTTATCAATTCGTAAGCTTCATCTAGAAATCCACCTCTCCCAAGCATATCAACCATACAAGCAAAATGTTTTGGCTCTTTTTTAACACATAATTTTTCCATTTCTGAGAAACAATTTCTTCCTTCTTCAATAAGACCTGAGTGGCTACAAGCAGAAAGAATGGAAGTGAAGGTGACATGGTTTGGTTGAAAGCCATGAGTTATCATATTGTTGAAGAGTTTGAGGGCTTCTTTTCCATACCCATGCATGCCATACCCTGAGATTAAAGTGTTCCAAGATGTAACATCTAAGTGGCTCAAGGGTACTTCTTGGAACATTCTTAAAGCAGTGTCCAAATCTGCACATTTTGCATACATGTCCATTATCGCGTTCCATAAAGTTAGGTTTGTTTCTATTTTGTTTTGTATGATGAAATCATGGATTTTGGTTGCAAGTTGTTGTGAACCTAGATAAGAACATGATGAAACAACTATTAATGCTGTCACCTGATTAGGATTCACATCAGATATCTTCATTTGTTCAAAAAGAGCCAAAGCTTCACTAGCTTGTCCATTTTGGGAATAACAAGTAAGCATAGAGTTCCAAGTTATGGTGTTTCTTTGTTTTGTTTGGTGAAAGATTATTTCTGCTTTTTCAACTTCCCCACATTTGGCATACATTGATAGAATTGAGTTAACAACAGGTAAATCTTGGAAAAATGCATGACGAATGGCATACCCATGAACAGATTGAGCTCTCCTGGCATCTCCTAATTGGCCGATAGCAGAGGCAACTGTCACAGCTGTGACCCAATCTAAACAGAAACTTTCTTGTTGCATTTGATGAAGGAGATGCAACGCAGTCTCAGCTTGCTCGGATTGTTCATAAGCTGTGATCATTGAGGTCCAGCACACAAGGTCTCTGTATGACATTTTGTCGAACACCTTGCGACCATCTTGGATGAAGTCACATCCAGCGTACATGTCAATTAGAGCGGCCTCTACATAGATATCTGAACCGAATCCAGTTCTAATTATTTCAGAATGAAGTAATTTTCCATAGGTAGGAAGCAAATTATCAGCGCACGATTTGAGAGCAAATGGGAATGTGTAATTATTGGGTCGAATGCCAGTTTTGCGCATAAGCGAATAGAACTCCAATGCCTCTGAGCAGAAACCACTGTTTGCATAGGCACGGAGCATCGTGTTCCATAAGAACGAACTGGATTCATGATCGGTGGCGTTAAATACGAACCTAGCACTTTGAAGATGCAAGAAGTCGGAGTATTTGATGATGACCCGAGCATTCAAGTGAACACTATGCTTGATAATGCCGGTGGTTGTAAGAATGGAGTGGATCTGTGACAGGAAAGCTAAACTGGTACAGGAATGAAGAATTCTATCGTAATGACTTTCAATTTCAAATCCATTGTTGTTCTTACAGATGTTTAACCCCCGACGAAACATTCTTCATGGAGCCAACTTCCAATCATCCAGTGTGCAAAACTGGTAACGTGAAGTTTATATTTGGTTATTTTTTTTAATACATTTCACCACTAATTTATCTGAAGCGTTCAAAAATTTATCATTATGTCCGGTAATGAGGTAATTAAAGGTTTCTTCACAATTTCAACGTAAGTAAAATTATATATGTTATGATTATAAAATTAATTAAATTTTCATAATAAAAAATTAAAATTATTAATTATTTATTTTAAATAAATTATTAATTAAAATATATTTTTAAGTATATATAAAATTATAATTATTGATTTAAATAAATACATGAAATTATATCATTTTATAATCTGTATTAATTTTATTTTAATTTTTATTTTAATGTTATCAATTTAATATAATTAGAATAAAAAATTTAAAATTTAAAACTTAAAATTGAATATGACATTAATTAAAATACATAATAGGATGATAAATAACAAAAAAAAAAAAAAACTATTTTTTTATTAGAACAGAAAGATTTTTTTATATATTAATATCAAATTTAACTAATAAATAAATAAACTATTTTTTGTACACATTTTTTATAATTTATATAACTTTGTGGTTCACCTGTTTACTCTTACATATTTGTTTTTATGCATTATTATTATTATTATTATTATTATTATTATTATTATTTATTTTTTTTTTTTTTCAATTTCATGTTTTTCTTTCCAAAAATTTGTTTTCATAAATCCGTTTTCTAACATTTTTTATTTATTTATTGCCATGCATGTAAGGCTGTAAAAACTCATTTTTTACATATTCGTTTTAAAAAAACATTATAAAAACTAAGTTGTAAAAATATTGTCAGAAACGTAACTTTATTAAAAAAGATATTAGAAGTTATAGAAAACCTAGTTTTATAAATAAAAAAAAAGTTTTCAACATATTGAGAAAAAACATTGTGGAATATGGAGGATCTTGGGGAAAAAATACGTAGGAAGACTTGGAAGAAATTGATGTTTTAGAAACAACATAGTTCATTGGCTAAATTTAATATTGTTATATAAGTTTATTGGTTAAATGTGTGTAATATGTAACACTCTAAATTTTTAAACCAAATTTTTTATTTTTAAAACACATAAAAACTCATATTATAATTCTCAAAAACCACAATTGTCTCGATGTTAACACAAATCCACAAAATAAATATTATTATCCTAGAATTCTTAACACAATCTCGAACAAGTATGTACAATCAAACCGACGTATTCCCACGATCCTAAGAAGTACCTGAAACACATATCACACAACACGGTAAACACAAATCTTACCGAGTTTCCTAAAAAACCACATACACAAATAATAAGCCTCTCATGGCTATAAGTTGGCATGGACCCTTCGGTCATGCGTCTAGGTGAGGCCCCTTCGATCTCACGACTCGGTATGGACCCTCCGGTCATGTGTCTCAGTGAGGATCCTCCGATCTCACAATTCGGGTTGGACCCTCTACTCCTATATCTCAGTGAGGACCTTCCGGTCTCACAGCTGGGGTTGGACCCTCCGGTCTCACAGCCAGGGGAGGATCCAAGGGGATCCCGGGGTAGCCCGGGATACCCCTTTAATTTTTTTCGGTAGTGTAATTTTTGCTTACGTATCCCTCAAAAAAAATCGGATAGTGTATATACGCATCTGTACACTTATAAACACAAACAAAAGTTGGTTTGCTGGTTAAGATGTTGGCTTATTCAAGCAAAGGTCTCGAGTTCTATTCTCGCTTCTTACATATTCTTTGTTTATTTTTGTTTTATTTTCCCAACTATTCTATCCCACATCGCTAAACACATGTAAACTCAACCATTTTTTTATTATATAAACTTGTTATGCTCATGCTTTATTTGATATCTACTTTAAATCCCACATCAATTCAAGTATCAAAATATATTTCAACTTCATATTTACATAACAAAACTTGAGGTTAGCTAAGGATTCGATTAAGATTTGGGTTTAAAACCGAAACCGAACCCGGGAAACTCAAGTACCCCAGGAAAAAAATTAGGTTACCCTAAAAAAAAATTGTGATACCCCTTTACTTTGATCCTGGCTCCGCCATTGCTCACAGCTCAGGTTGGACCCTCCCGCCTGATCTCAAAATGCACAGAATAATATATCATATATCACAAAGACAAAATGCATAATATTACATAACTCAAATAAGCACATAGGACCCTCCGGTCGATAACTCAAATAAGACCCTCTCGTCACTTAACATTACCGCTCAAGTAAGTATATTGAGAAGACTTACCTCGTAAGCAAGCAAGGAAACCGAATACCCCTCGAATAGTCTACTCCCCGCCTACATGTAATACGCATCTCTAAAAAAAACTCATGTTAGTCCCTCTCTAACTCTTGGGATGGGTAAAAGACCATTTTACCCTCCCATGACCTCCATCACTCAAGTTTGACCAAATCCTAAAGCCAACAAAAGTCAACACTCGAGTCAATAGTCCATGTTGACCTAACTCGTCGAGTGCATCTATGAAAATCATCGAGTCCCTTCATATTCTCAGAACCCTCATGAAAGTCTCACTCAACTCTCCGAGTTGACCCGTCAACTCGCTGAGTTACAGTGTGTTTAGACTCATTGGGACAAACCCTAACCGACTCGTCGAGTCCCTTAGGTCAAATTCTCATTCAGATGTTTTAAGGCAGAAATGGAGCCCCATACTCTGGATCTGTCTTCCTAAGGCTCGAATATAACCTAAAGCTGCAAGCTTTACGTTCATGCATGGCATGTTAGGCTTATAATGCCAATACAAGCTCCAACAAGGGTTAGATGCACAAGATCTTGTCTCTAGCTCAATAAAGCTCGGGTCTTTGGACACACAAGACCTCCTACAGTCTAGATCTGAGGTTTCAACCTCAAGACATGCTCAAATGAATCAATGACACAAAATGGATGGGAGAAAACCCTAAAAACTCCCTAAACCAAGAACTCATAAGGAAATGATCAAATTAGCATCTTTTTACCTCCAATTGAAGCAAATCTCTGAAGAATCTCTAGATACAAAAGCTTCCTATTGATCCAAGCCTTGATACTTTCCACTTCTCCTCCAACAGTGCACTAATATCACAAGAGTAGTTTCTCTCTCTCTCTCTCTCTCTCTCTCTCTCTCTCTCTTAGCTCAATATGGATGATTAGGGTTTCACACAGGGGAGTAGGGTGGATGGTGAGGCAGAATTGAGGGCTTAAGGTCCTTTAAATATGACCTAACCTCAGAGAATTAGGGTTTCCTCACACAACGCCAACTTACCGAGTTGGTCCCTCCGAGTCGTCGAGTTGGTAGTAAAACCCACGTGGCCAAATCCGTCTCTACTCGAAGAGTTGAGACATCCACTCGTCAAGTTGATCAGAAATTCTCAAAAATAAATATTTAAATAATATACCTGAGAGTCAGGATGTTACATATCTCCCCCACTAGAATCAGACTTCGGCCTCGAAGTCATGCTCTGGAAATAACTCTGGGTATTGCTCGTGCATCTTGGACTCCGGCTCCCAAGTCTACTCGGATCTCTTCTGATGTTGCCATTATACCTGAACCAGGGGCACCTCTTTATTCCTTAACACCTTCACCTTCCGATCTAAGATCGTTATCGGCCTATCAATGTAATTCAGGCTCGCATCTACTTGAATATCCTCTAAAGGTACCACCGCCGTCTCATCGGCTACACACTTCCTTAACTGAGACACGTGGAAGGTGTTATGAATCTGGCTCAACTCTATAGGTAGCTCCAACCTGTAAGCTACCTTATCCACTCGGGTGATCACCCTAAAAGAACTAATGTATCTAGGGCCCAACTTGCCCCGTTTCCTGAATCGAATCATCCCTTTCCACGAGGATACCTTCAGGAGGACAAAATCTCCAACCTGGAACTCTAGCTTGGATTGTCGTCGGTCTGCATAACTCTTCTGGTGATTCTGGGCTACCAGTAACCTCTTTTTTGACCTGCTGAATCCGCTCGGTCGTCTTGAGCACTATCTCAGTGCCACCCATCACTCTCTTCCCTACCTCTCCCCAACAGATGGGAGCCCGAAACCTTCTCCCATATAAAAGATCAAAGGGAGGCATACCAATACTAGAATGATGGTTGTTGTTATAAGAAAATTCAGCTAAGGGGAAATAAGTGTCCCAACTCCCACCGAAATCCATGACACATGCACACAACATGTCCTCAAGCATCTGAATCGTCCACTCACTCTGCCCATTTGTTTGTGGGTGGTATGCAGCACTGAAGTGAAATTGGGTACCTAGCTCCTCATGAAACTTCTTCTAGAACCTGGAAGTAAAACGCACACCCGATCTGAAACTATCGATGTCGATACTCCATGCTGTGCCACTAACCCCCACACGTAAATCTCGGCCAACTTCTCTGCAGAAGAGCTATCATTGATAGCAAGGAAGTGAACACTCTTCGTCAGCCGGTCTATAATCACCCATATTGCGTCGACACCTCGCGCAATCCTTGACAATTTGGTGATAAAATCCATGGAAATCTGTTCCCACTTCCACTGGGGAAACTCTAGAGGCTGTAACAGGCCATGTGGACGCTGATGCTCCGCCTTAACTTGGCGATAGGTCAAGCACCTCTTAGCTACCCATGCCACATCCCTCTTCATACAGGGCCACCAATAATCTCTCTTCAGATCCAAATACATCTTAGTGTCCCCCGGGTGGATCGAGAATCTCGATCTATGTGCCTTCTCCATCAGTATGCGTCGTGCCCCACCTGTATAGGGCACCCAAATCCGCCCTCGGAAAGTCATAAGCCCCCGACTATCCGTCTCAAACTCGGAAACCTGTCCTGCGGTTCTCCGATCTCACAGCCTCCACATGGGACTCATTGATGGTATCTAAGACTGGAGTCATCACCGTCATCCTCATACACACATATCGGATCGGAGCACTTGCTGCTCTACGGCTCAAGGCATCGGCTACCACATTAGCCTTGCCCAGATGATACAA